CCAAAGACGCCTGGCAAAATATCAGACTTCTCAGATCAAAACTTTTTGAGTTATATTGCATTACATTTTTTTAACTTCGGTTTGTAACGGTGAGTTTGATGGCCTATAACTCAAGAACGGGTTAAGCAACCAACAAACGGTAAAAAACACTAAGCTTGCAATGAATCAAAAATTAATACGCCACTGCGCCGAAGGCGCAGTGGCGCCAATTTTCAATTCGCAACTCATCGGAGTGCCGCATACTAGGACTAGGATGCAAAAATCAGTCGAATAACGTCGTTTCAGTACGCTCCGCACCGATATTTCCAATCGTGTGGTGTCACTGTACATACTGATCCTGGGCGCCTCTTGTCAGGGCCACTGGGCGCCAATATTTCAGCGCCAATACGATGCGACTATGGCGCCCATCCGGGGCGTGGCGCCCAATTATGACCTGCAGCCCCTCCCCAGTGAAAATCCTGGATCCGCCACTGGTTTCGGAGGGGTTGACACGATCCCAGCATGCCGTTTTGCTTCTAATAGAGCTAGAGCCTCGCGGGAAAAACGAGCGTGTGCCGTTACAAGTCGCAGCGATTGGTGGAAACTACCGCGGAAATTGTTTTTATCAGATGAGAGGAAGACCTTGCTACCGGCGCTCCTGATTTCCTCCAATATCTTTTGGGCCCTGTGAAGCCGCTTCTCCTTGAATGCCGCCGAAATTAGGTGTCGAGTTCGACGTTGCATCGTGTATGACTCAAGGCCCAAATTGTCGTTCATGATTCTCCTGATCGTTTTGGGCGAAAAATCGAGGTCCTTAGGCAGTTTGCGCATGTTTCGCCTAGGATTTCGAGACACCATCTTGTGCATGATATCAACCAGCTTTTTGGTGCGGACATGCGTTGTTCTGCCTGGGATGGAGTTCATCGACACTGCACCTGTCCTTTTAAGGCATTTCATTATATAGCTCGGCCGGATGCTTGCTGTTTTACTCGGCCATAGACCAGCGGCTGTAGGCTCTGCCACTTCCGCCCGTAGCCGAACGAACGTTCAGTTCGTCCTCCATTCTTGAGGGCACTGTGAGTTTGTAACGTGACTGCAATGATTGCGTTATTCAATCTATAGGTTGGGGACCTGTAAGTGTAACAGAAAATGTAATATTTTCTGCATTTCATATTTGAGACTAAATTGTTTTCATTATATTGTTAACAGTTTTTATGGTAACACCGAGCTGTTTTGGAACGCTTCAGACGCTGTGGCTAGCCTGCATCGGCGCAAGCTGGGGCCCGCAATTTGAGCTCTTTTTGTAATCTCCGCCATAGCTCATCAACAACCATGACGAAATTAAAAACGAGCATAACAATTATACACGAGTCAGTTGGGAAGCCGCGTGCAAAATTTCACAAAAACCGTCCAAAACTTTTTGAGTTATGGGCTGAAAACAAACAGGTAAATCTTTCTGCCCCACCCTGTAGCGCGCGCGCCCGTTGGGTTTTGTTAGGTTTTGAGGTCGGATAGTTAGTTGAGGTAGGTTAGGTAGGTATTGAGTGATAGCTTATCCGTCGGTGCTGGTTATAAAGGACCATTTAGTATCTTTCATGCGTGCATCAAAAATGATTACGAGCGAGCGAGCGCAGCGAGCGAAGCGAAGTCTTTTCAATACATATAACGGAAAAATCTCAGCATGAGCAGCCCGGTCCGGCCTGTAACGCTTTTGAGAGGCTTATATCTCAGCAATCGCTGGACCGATTGGCCTGCGGTCTTTTTTGTTGGGTAGCCCCATCCCTTCTGCCCCGTAATTGACAACTCTTGATACATTTTAGGGACCGTCGTGGCACGTGTCACGTGAAAAGTCAAGGGTGTTCAAGCTGTTTTGCAAAAGTAGTGATTTTGAGAGGCTCATATCTCAGCAGCCGCTTGGGTGATTGTCTTGCGGTGATTTTTGTAGGGTAGCTGCATCCCTTCTACCAAAGGTCGGATACTCTTGATCTATGTGAGTGACCCCCAATGCACGTGCAAAATGCAAAAAAGAAGAAGTGCCCAATTTGTTCCCATTTCAATAACTCGGTAATTACTGGGGCGATTTCACTGAAGCTTGGCATACAGGTAGGCACCCACCAGGCAATGCAATCCCATGTGTTGCGGTTGGGGTGCTACTGCACGTGCGCACGTGCAGGGGGCGCTTCCAGATCTCGAGAACGGCTGGGCCGATTGCGCTCAAATTTGGTACACGGTTAGGGAACGGTTAGTAGGGTGCCGTGCAAAAGTCAGTTTGGACCCCGTTTGCACGTACGCACGTGCAAAATGCCGCTTCCAGATCTCAGGATTGCGTTCAAATTTGGCACACCGCTAGCGACCGGTTAGAAGGGTGCTTTGCACAAGCCCGTTGGAAGTGCCCTCTCGCCTTTCCGCAGGTGCAGGGCTCACTATCTCGCTCGGTCGTTCTTCGCCCAAAAGACGTTTTACTGGTTACTATCTTCGTAAAATATCACTGGAGATCAGTGATCACCTTAACCCGCGAGTTGCTGGGGGGGGCGTTAAACGCCCCCACTTTTTTCGTCGGGCCCTAGCATAAAAACGGCGCGCCGCAGGCGCGCCAAATTTTGGGTACCTGTAGGGAATTAATTGAAGTTTATTGTGACAAAGTTTTAAAAAAATCGGTCGGAAAATTTTTGAGATATCGAGGTTTTAGTGACGTCATGATTTCTGACTTTTCGACCAAAAACGGCATATGTAAAAAAATAAAATCATATAAAATAACAAAATAGACATACAGACATGCCGTAAACGCCATTACACTCCCAATACCATGAACAATCAAATGGCTATCTTCGATTATTGATTATCGTTCCGCATTTTCCAAAATCTTGAACTGAATCTTGGCAATTTCTCGTGACTACTTCACGACCATGATACATGCATTTCTTAAATTGAACTTTTTTAGCCAAACACTTACACATATGATAAAATGAATGTCACCATCGTGTTCTACGCCCCAAATTACCCATAAAACATGTGTCACAGGCTGCGAATATCAGTTTTGATTTTCGAGGATATGTGCCTACCGGGTTGACCTGACCTTGACCCTGACCTATGCTTGACTGACCCCTACATGGAGCTGACACTCTTGTAGGCCTTATATGATGGATTGTGCACCGTTTTGACAGAGTTTATGACGAGAGGCGCCCATTGCGAAGTCCTGAAGTCCATGCTACTGAAAGCCCGATTTCAGGTGTTTGACCTGACCTTGACCCGTCCTGTGACCTCAAAATTCAACTTTAAAGTACTCATCTGAAGCGTCTCGTCGCGTTCTTTCGTTTGCCGCCTCGTGCGTTTCGCTGCGCCTATTGGTTCTCGAGTTATCGGCTGGGGGCGTTTAACGCCCCCCCCCCCCCCCCCAGCAAACGGTGGGTGGCGAAATACCCCAGCAACTGCCGGGTTAAAGGGTGATCTCCTGTGATATTTTTTGAAAATAGTTTTTTACAATGGATTTGTGATTTTTTATTCTGAAAATGATCAGCAAAGACGTAAAAAGAGTATTTTCTATATTTTCTATGTAGAAGGAACTATACCTACTCTATGTAAAATGTTGTTGACGCGCAAGCTTTTTACGCGTTCATTAAACATATCGCGTAGCTCAAACCCATTGGCTGTAAGCAGCATGCTGCTTGGCTGACGATGACGTGGCTGCATTCCTCAGCAAGGCACTTTTTCGGGACGAGAAATGGAATATCTTTGCCTAAGGGTGATCGTTGGGCCGTCAAAGCTCCTGATTTGTGCTTGTCTCAGCTCAAGATACAAAACTGCTATTCCAGTTCAAAACCCCATGTTAAAAGTGAACTATTACCTTTAAAACATTTTCTAGAAAGATGGCAAAGTCACCCAGCTAGGCAATGTCATCCTCGTTTACGGTACCATAAAAATCAAATGGCTATCTTCGATTTTTGCTATTTTAAAAATCTTGAATTCAGTCTTGGCAATTTCTCGCCACTCGCGCTGCGCCTCCGATTAACGCCCCCCCCCCCCCCATCAACTGGCGGGTGACGGAATACCCCAGCTACTGCCGGGCTAGTTTTCGAGTTATGCGCCTGTTTGTTAACCATTGTTCGAGGTCAACGGACGTCGCCGCAATAAGCGCTACAAAGTGACTACGTCGCACACGGCGGCGGCGGCAGCGGCGGCGGATTAGAATATATTAACACAGACACTGACAGGGAGTGTTAACCTGTCAGTGTCTGTGCTTATTTAACCGTTAACTATTGTACGTGTTTGTGTCCGATATCTTGTTGGTAACTTTGATGGCGAATAAACCTGTTGATTGTTCGACATTTGACCTGAAAATTAGCGAAATTTGGCCTTTGATGATTTCTGGTGACCTGACCTCTGACCTTACCTGAAAAGCGGCTGAAGTAACTTCATTTTTTTGCGCTCTGTCGATCGCCGCTTATTGCGTCGTGGCCCAGGCCCAGGGACTGGGTTAGAAGGGGGGGGGGGATCGTTGAAACAACTCCCTTCCCCAGCAGGGCGTGCAATCCAAGAGCCCCAGCCTGACGCGGGCTAACCTTCGCCCGCACTTCCTTGTTACGACGCCTAACGTATAGGGGACCGTTGGACCCCGTGCCGTTCGGCCCCTGATCAAGTGGAGGTTTCGCGAGAAAAAAAAACGAAGGCGTTGCCTGTGACGAGGAAAAGCCGATGCTGCTAAATTTTAAGGTCCTATGTAATTGGTTAATCTTACATGTCAATCAATGACTCAAAAGTGGGAAAATTGGGACTTGCTAGAACTTTTTGTCAAGTGTGAGATTATTATGTTCTTTTCGGGTCCTGATTACGAATGTCGTATTAGTTGTCATCAAACTGATGTCCTAATGCATTTGGGGTAGGTTGTCGGGTCAGGTCAGATCACTGGACGGGCAGTGGACTGCAGTGGACGGGCAGTGGACGGGCAGTGGACTGCAGTGGACGGGCTGTGTGACGGCTACCCCCTGACGGCTGCCCTCTGACGGGTATTGTTGGCCCGGCAGGCTGGCGCGCGTGCTGGCACGGGACGCCAGCCACACGTACTGCTGGCAGCTGGAGCGTGTCCAGTGTGCGCTGCAGGAGGTGGGCTCGCTGGTGGCCACTCCGCGCGGCTCGGCGCGGCCAGCGCACACGCGGCGCACGGGCCAGCGCGTGCCGGCCGCCTGGGTGACCGAGCTGGAGGCCTGGATAGACGAGCACACAGCGCGGCTGCCGCCTCTGACCAACTTTATCCTCCCGGTGGGTTGCCGTCTGCAGCACCGCCGCACGCTGGGCCAGCGGACCGGAAAAACGCCAGAAAGCCTCCAAAACTGTCCCAATATGAATAAAGTAGTTACGTACAGTATGTCTAAAAAGAATGTACCGTCGCCACTACGCGGCGCTGGTGTCGCGAGCCGGTAGTTGGCTGAATCCGCACCGAGAGACTCTACGTATTCCCATGCACTCGGTGAGAGCTACGCAGCGGCCGATAGTAGTGTAAGCCCAAGCCTCCGTGACACGACCCAGAGAAGGAGGGAGGGGAGCGGGCCGGGGAGCGCGTGTAGGGAGGGGTGCTCCGGCAAGCTGGCAGTTGTCGCGGCCAAAGGTCAAGGGGTCACACACCAAGCAAACGGACGCTGATGCGGGTTCGTGGGGATCGTGAACTTTTGTGTGGTACCCGTCACCCGTCTTGCGATGCACGGGTGATACGCCAGGTCTAAGCCCAAGGATTCAGGGGAGAGCTGAAAAAAAACACCTGGTCAACTACGGCGAATAATGGTGCTGAAAAATGGAAAGTATGGGTCAATGCAAGCCTTCATGACTATAAACAGCTTTTCTGAGGACGCAAAGGCCAGCATTGAATAACGATATTCGGATCGAAATTAGCAATGATTTATAATTACATGCCGAAATAATAGCGCTGCAAAACCCACCTAGCAAATTGTCAAGTCGGATTCATACCGACTTGAATTAAACTATCCTAAATAAAATTGTTAATTAACTTTCTAACACTGACGTCTTTTATCATACGATAAGTATGGGGTTAACCAAGATTCAGCATCTTCCGCGTTCCAACAATCACCTGTAAGGGTAGAACATTAATGACCAGGAAACAACAAGGTCGGGATTTGATTAACCGGATTATAAGTTGATTTTATTAGTCGGGATTTGATAAGTCGGATTTTTTTTACGCCAACCGCATTTTTAAGTCAAGTCAGATCACTGATCTATGACGTCATAAATGAACAGTCCTAAAATGAGCTGTGTGAAACTGTCCTTAACTGTCCTAAAATGAACATTTTAGGACTGTGTGCACAGTCCTAAAATGTTCCAACTTAGCAACACCCTCAGTGCAGAGCTTTCATAGGGAGATGAAACTTCCAGGACCTTATAATATCATCGAGAGGTCTCACAACTTGTATAAATGTATATCTCGGATTTCCTGAAGGGTCGCCTGAGATGGTCGGTCTATCACCAATTAACCTTCCAGGCGGTGGGGGGGGGGGATTTTTTGCCTCCCCTTTAGTTTTTTTTTCGATATATCTCCAGAACCGCTGCGCCGATCGTCACCAAACTTTCAGTACCCTCCCGTGAACAGCTATTGCACATTGTGACCAAAATTTTTCCAAAGGCTATGATAGGTTGGCCGCTAATGCCGGGTTAAAAGTCAGGGGGAATATGGAAATTGCTAGTTTGGTCCGGAAATGATCTACAACTATCTCAAATTATCAAGCACACGGAATCATGATTTCATGCGCTCCTTGCAAGGTCTGATGCTTCTCTTTTGCTTTGTTGATCTTGCGTGACGTCATTTATCACGTTACTAAGGCTATCAGTTTTTCGTCAATAACTCCCGATCAACTAAAGCTACCGAACGGATAAAGCCACTAATGGACATTGAAAGACCTGCCGAATCGATTGATATGCAATATGACCTCCTGTGACCAGCTTCGTGACCTGACGGGCTGTGACCTGACCTTGACCCGAGGTTAACACCTTAAATTGATCTCACCCGAAGAAAAAGTATACCATTCGACACGCCTGAGCTAGACAAACACGATGCTGCTAAAATCGCGGATCTGCGATCATTTTTAGCGAAGTTATTTACCAAAAACAGAACCTGTGCCTTGGGCCACTTGATCTGACCTCAGAAGTCATCGGCTGACCCTAGTCCTTAAAATCGGAGACCAATCGCTGAATTTCGTAACGACGCACAAGATCGTTTCTTTCGTGAGGCTCTAGCTCAATTAGGGGCGAATCGGCGAAGGCGGGGTTGTTTCCTCACTTCCAACCCCCCAAAGCCCCGTCGGTATTCAGAAAACCTGAAGGTCCGGTGAGGGTTAAAACGTTGCTCCTGAACGAGGAAGAAATGTAAAAGTCAAAGCTCTATAGACGTCCTGTAAAAGTGACCATAATAAATAAATTGGTTAGAGATTAGATGCTTTTTAAACGAGTTCCTCATATAAAATCGGGTGCTGGGACCAATCTTATAAACGCTTTAGAATGGACAGGGCGTCACTGGCTAAAGTTTGGGTGCAGAAAACGGCTATTACCTAAATGCAAAATGGTTTTCATGCATTTCAGTCAATTGTATATTGACGGTCCCAGTGGCCAAGCTAAAAAAGTTCGGTAGTGTTTTGCATCTTTTACGCCCTAAGAAACTACACCATCTGTTGAAGTGGGCGGGCTTATTTGAATGGGAGGCCGCATAATGCACCAGTGCAGTCGTGTGCTTTCGTTTGTTTTGGACTGTATTTTACCACATCCACTGCTGGTATCACTATTCATATTATCTAATGCCGTGAATACGACAGCATTCCATTAATAAGATTGGGCCAATGGAGTCGCGCCCCGCGAGCTCGGTTTTCCGCTCGGCCGCTACGGGCCGAGGAAGTCGGTCTTCGCCTGAGGGCAGGACGGAGGTCAGCGAGGGAGCGCGGGGTCAGCCAGGTATCGCCCACTGCCGAGCGGATGCCGCTCCCTCCCCTCTCTTCCCCTCTTCTCCCCTCCCCGCCTCGGTATAGATGGGGAGGGACCGAACTGCCAATGACATGCGAGCGGTCAAGGCCGCTCGCGCGCCAGCGACCCTGGCGGCCGGGTGCTGCAACTGGGATTCAGCCCAGTTACCGATTCGCCTCCTGTGGGAGACCCAAACCAGGAGACATACTTTTTAGATATACTGTACCTCAAGGTGGGGTTATTTGAGACAGTAGGGTAGTGTTGTGTTAAGGTGTATGGCCGCCGCGCGGGCAGTGTACGGCGCAGCCGCGTAGTTGTGACGTCACACGACGACACGGACCGAGCGCGAGTAGCCGGCAGAATTCTAGAACTTGCGCGGCGCGAGACGGAGACAGCCTTGTATATATATGTAAGTGTATAATAGGGCTGTGTAATACAGTTGGCTCAGAGAACTCGGTGTGTGCAGGTCAGAGAGAGAACCAGCGGTCGGCCCGGAACGACCAGACAGAACATGGCGCGGTCGGTTCGGCTCTCTATCTGCATTATCTCTACCTGAGTTTTACACTGCATCAGCAAGACTTCGTAATGGAAGGAGACACTCCCGGACAGCCAGACGCCGCGGAATCGAAGCCCACGGACATTCAGCTGCTGGTGACGGCGATCTCCCAGCAGCTGGAGGCATCTCAGCGCCGTGAGGATCGCGTTGTGGCTCTACTGGAGCAACTGTGCGTTACGAGCAGTCAGAGCGGGCGACACCATCGCACCGATGATCAAAATGACGGCACAGCAGCTCATTCAGCTGTTTCCGGCCGTTCATCGGATGCTGAACCCAGTGACACGGACCATCCCTGCACGAGTGTCGTGGCCGGCGGCGGCGTGCCGCCGCCCTGCCCCGTCCGCGCAGCGACCGGTGCCACGCCGGGGCGCGGTGACCTTGACCGCGACCTTGCCGCGCCGGCCGGCGCACGGGGGCCCGCGGGCGCCGAGGGGTCGGCCGGTGACCCCGAGAGGTCACGCGCCGGGCCGCGCCTGCCGGCCGCGGGGACGCCCGCCCCGCAGCTCAGCTCATCAGCGTCGCTGAGGGAATTTGAGGTCTGCCGTGGTGGGCGAGCGAGCTCAGTGACCCGACCTCAGGGTGCAGCCGCTCCCACCAACCGCGCCGGCAGCCGAGATCGGTGCTCGCGCTGTGGTGCCGCCGCCCATCGAGAGGGCCAGCAGTGCCCCGCCTCTGGACGCACCTGTTTCAAGTGTGGAAATAAGGACCACTTCTCATCGATGTGCCGCAGCCGAGGGCGGTCACAATCAAGACGGCGAGTTTCATCTATCCGTCTCCGCAAGTCGAACTCCATGCCGGCCAGCAGGTCCCAGCGCCTGCCAGACATCCACGTTCGAGGCGTAGCAGCTCGCTCCTCGCCCAGAGTCCTGCTACAACTGCATCGACAAGATGGCAGCGTAGAAGACACGACGTGGACGCCAGACACTGGAGCCGAGACGTCAGCAATATCTGCCAGATTTGCCAGGAAGATGGGACTCCAGCCGTTGCAGCCTGCAGCCAGCAGACTCATTGGAGCAGACGGCAAGGAGATGGACTGCATGGGCATCTGTAGCGTCAAGCTTCAGCTCGGAGAAGTGACCCGTGCGGTCGAAGTTGCGGTCGTGAGGCAGCTGAATGGCCCACTTCTGTCATGGCACGATTGCATCTGCCTGGGGATTCTGCCCAGCACGTTCCCGCAGCAGATTTGCGCGGTGGAACGCCAGCCAGCTACGAGGTCAACCACGTCAGGGCGCTCCAAGGATCGAGAGGAAACAAAAGGAGATGAAGCCGCCCAGGAAGACGGCAACCCACCAGGGCCGTCGGCGGAGGCAGCCACCCGTCTGGATGCCACGCAGCCCGGCGGCCACATGCCATGGCGTGCCAACTGCTGCTGAGCGGCGCGAACATCGGGAGGAAATGAAGACGGCTTTCCCCAAAGTCTTCGACTCGTCTACTCTTCGAGAGATGTCGGGCGGTGAAATGAAGATCAAGCTGACAGAAGATGCCGTTCCGTTTGCCATCTCTGCGGCTCGGAACATCCCGTTCTGCTGGCGTGAGGAAGTCAAGAAGCAGCTCGATGACCTCCAAGAGAAGGGCATCATAGAGCCGGTCTACCATCCGACTGAATGGTGTCATCCACTGGTTCCAGTCCCCAAGAGGTCGGCGGACGGATCAGTCTCTGGATGCAGACTCACAGTGGACTTCACCAAGCTGAACAAGTTTGTGAAGAGGCCGACACATCCTGTTCGAGGGACCCACGACGCCG